ATAACTTTCTGTGAATGCTCTGTCAGTTTTGCGCAGCCTTATTATTTTTAATATTGCAGCACTGCCAGTTTGTTTTGCTGGGAACGCTCACGTATTGCTTTGTGGATTCTTTTGTTGCCTGTATTAGAAAGAAAGTCCCTTTCCCCTCACTCCCCTGTGCCGAGAGAAACAGAGAGTAAAGAAAGGTAGATGCTAGCTGATGCTTGCTCAGATACCAAGGTGATTTCTGAGAACTGCAGAGCCAGTTACTGACTCATAACTGGGGTTTGTTTTCACACCATTAATAGCTTAATTTTATTTTTGCAGTGGCAAACGAGAACACTCACTTGGGGAGGAACCAGGGGATCTGCCTCAGCGAGCTGGATCACCCTTTTTTCTGCTTGCAGAAGTCTTCCCAGGGGAACACTTCCCTGCCGTAGGGGATGAAGTAGTGCCAGAATTTGTTCCTGAAGGGGGAGAGTCTCATCATCTTCTCGGGCTTCTCTTGCTGGGCAGGTTGATGGGTGGCAGCTTGGAGGTCCAAGGGGTGGGTAAGGGATGGGGAGGCCGCTGCCAGGAGCATAGTGAGTTATTGCACGATCTCGGAATGAGATTTGCGTGTCTATGTATGATGTAAAACTTCCCCGGTTATCTTTAATGCCTGCCTGTTGCAGTGTAGCAAGTTGGAGCTCAGCCTTGTCCCTGTGCAGATGCAAACCCACTTGTGGCCATCACTAAATGGAGTAATGTACTGGAAAGGAGCTGGGCAGGATGTGACCTTTCTCATTTTGTGAGGAAACACAGCTGGTCACTTGGTCTAGAAAAGGAGAGGTGGGATTACTTGGATGTTACTACGTGTTGCATATTCAGCACGGCAGCCCTCTGCTTTTCATTATCCTGTATGTAACGTGCCTGATTCCTGTCTTAGTGGTGAGCATGGTGGAAGTGTGTTCTGTTTTCCATTTGTTTATTTATTTATTGTCTTGTTTTCAACCTCTGCGAAGCTTGATATAGGTATAGAGCTTCAGAAACGTACACATAACGGAATAACAGATAACTGTGATTTGGTTACAAGGCAATAATTTAAGTCGACAGGTTTAGCTGATAACATAAAACACAAGAGAGAAATAGGATCGGTTTATAAACGTCAGCAGAACCCCTGCGAGTGAGTTGCTGCCTTGAAGCCGACTCTGGTGCTGTTACTCCATCTAATATATTATAAGAAGAAATAAACGGATGTCTGAAAAAATCTGGCTGACCAAGATTAAAAGAATAAGGCTATAAATTAAATTCTTCCTCGGCGTCACTTTAAGCAACTTTCAGGACAGGCTGAACACATCCAAATAAGATGAATGGTAACGCCCCGGGAAGACCTCACGTTTTTAGGCTGTGGATGCTTGGATGCGTGGCAGCATCCAGGCACGGCGCAGTTTGTCCGGAGAGCGGTCATGCTCCAGCTTGTGCAGGGGAGAGCAAAGCCTGTCCTGATGCTTCTGCAGCCGCAGTGGTTGCCAATAGATAAAGGGATTAAATCAAGAACAGGAATAACATTGTCATAACAGCGCATTGCCACCGGATCAGCTTGGAAAATAAACACTGTCGCTTTGCTTTGACATTTATTCCCAATAAGTACCTTGTCAGTCGTCCAGCGGCAAGGGTTTGTTCTCCTCTGGAAGCATTTTACCTGTTGGATGCTGTCTTCTTGGCTGCGAGGTGAAGGGCTGAATGATTGAGGGGCTGGTGGGCAGCACATCCCCATCGGGGACGCTGGGTGCGCATGGCTTCCTCTTAGATCCATCAACCCAAGTTGATGCAGTATCACGTATTCAAATCATTTCAACTGTGGTTTAAAAAATCCCAAGTATGGGATAGTTTTTAAGTGCTAAAGAACACAAACTGCTTGTGGGGGAAGGATTTTGCTGGCTTCCTCCTCCGGCAGCTATAGCCTTTTCTGTGGGTTCATGGAGGGATTTTTCGCAGCTATTTCTACTCACTGAGTAGATGATTCGGAGTTGGGAAATTAATTAGAATGCAAACTCTTCTTTCCCTTTATAAGGAGTGAGGGAGTAGGACAGGATGAGAGCTAGCGGCTGTAGGATTTGGAGATCTCTGGAAAGTGAGACCATTCAGCTTCATCCAGTAACGCAGATATGCGATGCGTACCTGTTTGGATAGACATCTTTGATTTTTCTAAGGCGTCAAGGAGGAAAAAAAGGTCAGAAAATTGCTTAAATATAAACTTGTTTTTATATTTTTTAATTGAGTTTCATTTCCCAAATGTGACTTAATACAAACAATAAGTAAAAAATTAATTTCTCTAGGAAAAAAAGCTATTAAGAGTGTGATTTTGTATCAACAGCATGTGAAGCTGTGTAATTGCTTGCATATGTATCGCTCCGGTGCGTGCTCCCAGTTGTTGAATAGTATCAAATTATAGGATTCAAAGAGAATCAACTATTTTTAAGGGAAATGTCTAGAAGCTACATACTGAAACATGATTAAAATTCAGGATTTCCAGCTTGCTTGTTTAAATCTGCAATTTTAATCACATTATTCAAGGCAACCCACCCTCAAACACACTTTATGAATAATACTTCAGAATACCCCAAACTAAACAAGACTGAAGACCTCATCCTGTCTCGAACATCTGGAATGTTTGAAGTGATTACACCAATCTTTTTACTGAAAACAGAGATGTCCTTCTTGCTTTATTTAATAAAGCAGGATGTTTGTCCTGCTGTGGCATGAACCTGCGCCGCTGTGCACAGTGGCAGGGAGAAATCCCCGTAGCAATGAAAGCTGCTTAAATACATCAGGGCTGAGATTTTTGCTCTGGGGTTTGGATGGTCTCGGTCAAATCTCGTTTAGGAAAGTGCGAAGAAGCAGGAGCAGGAAAGGTTTGTGTCTTCTCTGATGGCAACCTCCTTAATTCGGTTGCGCTGGGTTTGTGAGCTCGTGCGCTCCAGGGTTCGCGTTTTCTTTTATTTATCGCTCGCTGAAAATAGAAACTGGGAGGACCGGTCACACGGGAGTCGCTCAGCCCTTCTGGAGGCTGCTCCCTTGCTTTCCCTTTTGATGTTTCTTTTAAGCAAAGCCCATCAGCCTCATTCCTCTCCCCTGGCAACCGAGTGAACTAATGTGGCCAGATGCACCGGGAGCATGACAGCCAGAATATACTGTACTCTTCTAACGGGGACATTTATTTCTGGCTGCACTTGACAATTCAGGACTTGCTTCAGCGAGTGCTGCGGTTGTAACCTGGGCTGTCCCCGTGCTTGTGACCTGGTGAGGAAAGCTGCTGGCTTTGGGAAGGGAAGGACCCAGCTCACCCCTTGCTTTCTCCCCTAAGTGGTGTTCATGCCCATGGAGGAGGAATGCATTCTCATGCATCTGTATGGTCAGCACGCAATACCATTTTATGATTTTTTTTTTTGTTTCCTTGCTGGCGGCCCCCTGCCTCGGTGTCTCCTGAAACACGGAGAAGAGATGCGGTGTCGTCCTCTTTGTGGAGATCCTACAAACTCCTTTTTGACCAGCATGTCGCAGCTGCGTTGCCTGCGAGGGGGACAGCTCTGCTGTGGCAGCAAATTCCTGCAAAGCTCACCTTTTGGAAGTGGGAAGGTGCTCCTCTGGATAGACATACAGGTTAAAGCTCTCCTGCATATCGCAAGTAAAGGAGCAGAAGGGGTGGGTCCATCGGTGGAAAGCGTGCCAAGTGTGGAGGAGGCGTATCTAGCCTGTCCTTGCATCGTTTAAGATGGGAAGATGTCAGGTCTGTCCCCTTGCATATCCAACCAACGCACCTTCCGATGGACAGGATACGGTGGAGAGAAAGAGGAGCTATCAGAAATGCACCCTGTTTTCATAGGAAATCCTGCAAAATGGATTTTCCTGTTTTTTCTAAATGTATTTATACCTACTCGATGGCTTTAGGCTTTGAAATGTTTTTGTCTGAATTGTGACAAACATCCCAGTCTTTTGTAGGAAGCACCAGGTCCTTTGATCAGTGAAATGTCTCTTTGGTCTTGAAGAGGGAGGATCAATCCAGTCGTTCTCTAGACTAGAGGATTTTGTCTTTGAGAACATGTGTTTATTGTATGAAATAATTATCCTTGTCTTTGCTTCCGTTTGGTAGGAGATGCTACCTGTCTCCTACATGCCGTGGTATTTTATCCTAGGCGTCTTTTTAGGTAAAAGGAAACAGAAGAAGGAAAGGCTGAATAGGGAAACCTCATCGAGAGAGAGGAGCGTGAGCAGCGTGTGTCTGTCTGTCCATCTGTGTGCAGCTAAGATCCCCGCATTCGTTGAGCTGCGACCCCGCTCTCCTAAGCAGCCAGATTTCTAGCATTAAAAAAAGAGAAGAAGCAACCAAATATTGCCACCCCTCCATCCCTCTGCCACAGCTGGCCATCGTGACCAAGAAAGAACTCTCTGAATTTCCCATCTTTTCTGCATTTAAAACCAAAGCTTAATGTATTCTGTGTATTTTTGTTGGCAGATAGTAGTGATCATATATTCCTTTTAATACAATATTTCCAAACCAACACAGCCTTGCCTCGGTACACTTGATATTCAGCCTACCTGGCTGTACTCAGCAGTATGCTTTGATTTCACTTTGGCAGCTGTATTTTATGCTGTCTACCCCAATCAGCAACCAATTCCCCCTCCTCCAAGTCAGCTCCTGATGTTTTAGTGCTTTCCTAGGAATTGGCCCAGGAGGGAGGAGGGAGCCAGGGCTCTGCTCTGCTCAGGGTCCCTCCCCTGCGGCACAGAGCCAGCCCAGCTACATGGGGACGTGTTTGGTGGGTCAGGGTGACATCTCTGCCGGGTTAAAACAGCGCTTGTGTCAAAGCAGCATTGCTGGAGGGGAGAGTGGTCGGTGGCAGAGAGCCCGCTCCTGTTCACCGTACAGGACGAGGCTTTTCTCTCTCTTGGGTAGGAATGTGCGTCTTCAGCTCGCCCTTCGTGTGCAAAGCTGAAATAATGCATGTGTCCTAAAATAATCTGACCTTTGTTTGTAGGTCAAGCTGTTCCTGCAGGGTCACATGTACGATTAAATCTGCAGACAGGAGATAGAGAAGCCAAGCTCCCAGATAGCGAAATTGGAAAAAGTGACACGAGGGAAGAGAGAAGAAGAAAAAGGTACAGGGATGCAAAGCATCAGGGGTGGGTGGGCTTGCAGGATTTGTGTTTTTCTTTGGAGGCCAGGTTCCGTGGTGCACTCAATTGCTGTCTCTTCCTGAGACTTAATTGCTGGTTTTAAGGGTTCAGCGGTGAAAACTGAGCCCCTGTCCCTTGCGATCCCTTCGGGATGGTGGTAGGAGTGCCCTGAGTCCGTCTGCATAGACACCTTCGTGGCTTCTCATGCCTTGTCATGGAAACTAAATTTGCAATGTGGCTTCTTTGAATGACATTTAGTCCTTGGAAACCTCTGCAGCAGTAGGTCTGAAACTACTGTCAGAGCTTAAACCATCAGAGCAGTTGTGAGGGGCTTTGTTTGTGCTGACCCAAGCCGGATAACATTGGTTTTAACTCCATGCACTCAGCAGGCTTGCAGCATTCAGTTTACACATCAGCTATTGCCGACGTTCTCCTTAGATCACACAGCTTTCCCTGTACCCACATTTTTACATTTGTTTTAAAAGTTTCACTGGTGCTGACTTTCCCCTTGGCACCCTCCTAACAAAGACAGGCTTAGTTACTATGAGGAACTTTTTTTCCTAAAGTGCGTGGAGTTTACCACTGCTTCCCTCGGCCCCTCACCCCCATTACTCTTGTTCAGAGCATGGAGAAGCTCTTTAGTTTCCCGATGTCCCAAAAGTAGGCTTTCCTTTTTTCTGTGCAAGAGTATTTACGGCCCAGATAAGTTCCCTGAACCAATGAGATTGACATAAAGAGCAACACAATGTGGTTTTAGGCATTTCTGTGTAATTTCTGCTTGGACTTACCCTTGCCCTAACTTTGTGTATGACGATCATTGGCACTTCAAGCTGTAGGTCTTCGTGTTAAAGCTTGCAAGTCCTTAGCAATGATCTGGTGGCACAGTGGTGCTTTTTTGGTTTTTCTCTGAAACATTTCCTGCCTTTCTGTATTGCTACGTGGCATTCAGAGGCATAAATTAATCAGCTATTTTTATTGTGTTAGGGCTTGAGATTTTGTGTTGGCATGCAGATTACAGAGCCTTTTTTGATTGTCAGGGTGAGGTGTCTGCAAACCACACACAAAATATAGTGCTTGGACTAATCTTTTCTTGAGTGTGGAGGTTTTTTCTAGTGTTTGAAGTGGGATGCATGGAAATCTAGCACTCTTCGCTCCTTTCTTCGTGACGTTATCCATTGCTAGTATATCACAATGAAAATATTACAGGTATAGTTGTTCACTCATAAAAAGTTTTCCTTTGTTTCCTCCCAAGGCTGGGCAAGGTGGACGTTGACTCAAATTCATTCACATCCCAGGAGCTCAAAAAAGCGTTGGCTAAAATGAAGGAAAGTGAGAAGGCAGAAAGAAAGGTGAGTTCCTTGCTTCTAAAGCAATGCACACTACATGGATGTGAACGCCCTGCATTGCCTGTCTCAGAAATATGACAGTTAAAAGTAATTGCTTGGGAAAATACTATAGAGACTAATCTTCTGGTGAATATGCCCTAAAATACCTTTGCTAGCCTGTTAGTGATACAGTTCCTTGGGAAACTCTCACCCCTTTTTGTACTGATCCTGGGTTTTCTGTAAAAATAGGCAACTTTTGTTCAGGTCCATTTTATTCACTTCAAACTTAAAGGCCTTGTGTTGCGAGCTGCTTGTAAGTATATTCTCACAGTTCAGGGTGTTTCTTGGTAATAATACCCTGTGGGCTGTCGAGCGGGAGGGGGGCTGCAGTGGTGCAGTGGGCTGAGATCAGCAGTTTAGTGGCATATCGGCCATCAGATGCTGCTGCTTTCTGGTCTTTACTCACGTGAGTGGGTTCTCAACTTGCAAACTAGACAGACAGCGTCCACATAACCAGCCTCGTGAGCCGTCCAGACACCAGGTTTCTTACTGCCATTCTTGGTGCACCAAAGCTAAAGTGAAGCTACGGGATCTTTCCTGAACCCAAAGCAGGCACGTTCAGTAAGCTCTGTGGTGTGATGCTGCTCCCCTAAATTCTCTGATACCAATTGGATTAGACCTGAATTACTAATGCAAAAAACTAACTCGCAAACGTTTGTGTGAACCCATGGGCTGATTTCCTTTCCATTGTTTGGATATATTTTTATCCATTGTTTTGATTTATTTGTTCGACTGCCGCTTGGTTCACAAAAATGCCTGCAGACCCCCAAAGTGGACTGGATTGCAGCGTGATGGTATTTGTAAAGGAAGTTACTTTGCTGTTCGCTGTCCTCTTTTTAGTGTGAGGAAGTACAAAAAGTGTTGTGTGGCTGGGGCACTTCTGTTCTGGATTTGGTGATGGTGACAAGCCACCGAACATAGCATCTCCTGCCACTGACACAGCTGGATCCGGGAGTGATCTCGTGATTTAAATTTCCAGTCTTATGCCCTGGGTAGTAAAAACCAAATGGCTGTGGTGAAGCATAGCCTGAAGTTTCCTTATATAAACTGTAAATTTCCCATATAGTTACAAATAGCCCACAATCCAAAGTAAAATAGAACCTAAGTGTCGCTTTCAGCCCCCTCCAGGCTTGGAGCTGGTCCCCAGCCACTGGCATGACACTGGTGGGGTGATATGCAGTGACGCATTGGGTGGATCACGGCCTTTTCCCCCTCTTGCACCCAACACCATTTTATTGGGCCCCAGCTCCTCCTGCTGCCTTGACATTGTCTCAGTTGAGGGAAAACTGAGGTAGGAGTCAAAGCTCTAATTCTTGGAGTTGCAGAAAGTCTTTTTTTTCTCCCAGCTGGCACCAGGGCATTATTTAGTTTTCTGAAAGATTATTTATGTAGCAGCCAGCATTACTGATAGCAGGACTTCTTGAAATGAGTGTCATTTAAATGCAAAAATTAGTGATCCTCTATTATGTGAAAATAAGCCATATTTTTAAAAACCCTGTTAGAACAGCTATTGTCCCAGCAACGGGACTAAAACCAGCTACATCTAATGGACCTAAAGTACTCCATTTAAAATCGCTCCTGCAGGGAGCAAATTCATCCTTGAAGTAACTGTGTCAAAGTAAATTGAGTTACACCAGGCGTGTTCCTGTCTATGCTCCTGCGAAAGCAATTCTGTGAGGTTGGGGTGGGGATGGCGTTCTGTTACCGCGTGGTACCTGTAGTAATTAGGCCAGTAGTCATTAGTGCCGATTGTACGGCCGCCTTTGTGGTTACGGGTGTTTTCTTCCATCCCTTTTTTTTTTTTTTTTTTTTTTCTTTTTTTTTTTTTCTTTTTCTTCTCTGATGGCTCGAGCCTTCAGCTCCTGTGCACACGTTGGGGAGCAGGGCAGTGCTTGCTGGGGGGGAGCACTGCGTGTGCAGACCCTCTAGTTGGGGGTCACTCCTGTATAAAAGCATGGTTTGGTATTTGTGGCAGAATCGCTTTCAAAAGGGGCTTTCTTGTTTTCTCCTGCTCTTGGGGCAGCCCATTTCAGTCTGGCCTCTCCGCTTCCTCTGTCCCCTGCAGCAGCAGGCTCTATCCCCACCTGCCCCAGTGTCACCAGTGCTGATGCTGGAGAATTGGTCCCTGTTGGCTCTGGGGCTCTCTCAGATCTCTGGCAGAGCCTTTTCCTTCCCACTGCACGCCTTTCCACAGCTCTCTTGGTTCATCGCAGCCCTTGGACTGCTGTTCGTACAAGGGAGTCGAGGCGCGCTGCAGGACGAGCTATCTCCCGGCCAAGCGCCGTGGCACAGCACTTCAGCTGCCCCATCTTGCAGCCGGTCCTTGCTTTCTGACAGCTTCTGGCCCCAACAGCAAGTGCATACGTTTCCCTGAGAAATAAAGCCATCCTGAAACATGTTAAGTGATTGGGATGACGTAAGTGTCCTCATATGAGTCCAAGGAGATCTCCTTGGTGTCACTGGGCAGTTCAGGCTGGATGGCACCTCTGGAGGTCTCCAGCCCCATCTCTGAGCAGGGTCAGCTGTGAAATCAGGGAGGTTGCTCAGGGCTTTTCGCAGTCAGGTCTTGAGAAGATCCACTTGCAGGCAAACAGAGAACAGCAGTGCCGCCTACCTCTGGGCTTTATGCTGTTTTGGAAGGTGCGTACGACATAGAAATGATGTACAAAGGCCTGGTTATGGGCTCAGCAGCTCGGGGGGTGCTTGCTGGTACCCAAGGTGGGTTATCTTACAGAAAACTGTGTTCCTGGGCTTCCCAGAAGGGGCCCTCCAACGCTGCCCCTGCATCTCTGATGCGCAGCGGTTAAATCCGTTTGCACAGACAGCCACGTTCCCATTGTAAATACGGGGCTGGGGTTTCTTTCTACACCTTTCTCGACTTTCTTTACCGCCTGCCTTCACATCTGGTTTCCTCCTCCTGCTTTCAAGGCCCACGAGGAAGAAGTGAGGAAGAAGTTCCGGCCCATAGAGCAGCTGAAGGAAGAGTTTGAAAAGCTGAACATGAAGATGGAAACAGATTATGAAATTATGGTTAAATTAATCAGCAAATTCAACAGCTCTGCATCTACGCTGGATGAAAAAGTCGCGGCACTTTATGATCTTGAATATTATGTTCACCAGGTAACAAAAATGCATTAGGAACTACCATGTAAAATCCAGGGGATACAGTGTCATAAATGTGGGTTTATTTTCCTTATCGGTATCAGGTAATACAGACTGCTTAATTATCATAATCCTGGGACAATAACAGACAGCAGAGGGCTACTGCAGGCTTATTTTATATCCAAGTTTGAATAAATCATCGCTTGTACCAGTAGTGAGCAGTTTCCTAGGGGTTAGTGTTGCCTGATTTGTTGTCTGTTCTCAGGCTTTTTTTCCTTGCCCTCTCTTTTTTTCTTCTTTTATATGCTAAATGTTATGAAATGGGGTTTTATCTGCCATTTTTGGGTAAGTATAGTGATGGCAGCTAAAAAAGATAATTATTTCCTCACTTCTTCCACCGAAAGCATCTGTGGTTGCAGGTAGGTCCTCTTGCACCAGTTCACAGAGAATGTTTTCATACCAGGGAAGCCAACAGCCACCCAAACCCCTGTGTTTTGTCTTGGCACGAGTAAGAAATGGCACGTAGAGCCTCTCTCACAGCTGGGCCGGTGGCAGATATGACTGAAGAGGCTCAGGCAAATGACAAGTTGCTGAGCATCAGCTGAGCCGTGCTAATTGGCTCTGTGTGAGGTTGAGTGTGTTTCCTGAAATCTCACTTCCTTGGGTTTATGCTCACACTTTTTCCCCCTCCTCTGATCTCTCTTGCTCTGCTTTCAGTTCACACGTATTTACCTCCTGTTGGTTGCAGGCTCTGGGCACGCCGCTCTCCTCCCTTGTGCTTGGTGCTTTCCCACGCTGCCAGTGGCTTGGGTGGGTGTCTGGGCATCGAGGCTGGGTTCTGCCTCATGGGAAAGGGCTGGGATTCTCCCTCTCCAGTGACTGGGAGAGCCTGGAGCAGACTGGGAGAGTTTCCAGCGTCGCTCTCAGTGACCTTATGTTTTCAGAGGGTGAATGGGACAACTGTTGGGAGATGCCAGTGCAGGACCTTTCACTGGAATGGCACTTCTTAAAACCAAATATGGTATTTTGGGGAAAATAGCTGACGGAATGAGCTGCTGAGACATGGAGCACCAGCTAATAGGAGTGTTATTTCCAGGGCTCTTTGTCTTGAGTTTCCACACTAAATCTCTGTCATACGCATGCAGAGGCTTCCTTGCTGTTTGTTCTCCATCCTTTTGTTTCACTGACAGCATCTGTCTGACTCAGAGAATCAGTGTGAACAATGGGTGCCCGAAGAGCTTCGTATTTATACTTAGGGCTAATTCTGTCTGGTTAAAGGTGCCAGAGCATCAGGCCAGGCATGCTAAAGAGCAACCCCCAAACACCCTGGCATACTTTGGTTTCCAGCATAGCAGTCTGGACTATTCCAGCATAAAATCCTGCATGCTTGCAGCACAGGATGGGGCAAACAATTTTGAAAGGCGAGAGGAGTGGGAAAGCTGTGCCTGCTGCCTGTGCGGGGCATGGAGCATCAAAGGGAACCACATCCAGCATCAAAGGGGTCAGAAGGGGGGAAATGGCAGGGAGGCTGGCAGGGAGCACAGAGGACTCCTTTGTGCATCGATCACAACGTTGCTCTGTGCCCGCGCTGTCGGGGCAGATGGCTGGGCAGCACCTTCTCATCAGGCAGGAAGCTGATAAGAAATATGACTTGTCTCTAAGCCAGCATGGCTTTTCCTCCTCTTTCTTCTTCCAGCCAGTTGAATGCGTCCAGAGCATTATCTCTGCTTGGTACTGACTTTAACAGCACTGGCTTAATGTAATTACTGAATAGCAGCCAAATATGCTTGTGCCGCATAACCCTGGAAGGGCTGAACTTGTCAGGAGTCCTCTGCAGAGCACCACGGCTGTGCCGCTAGAGGACAGGGATCCTTGCAGGCGTGGGTTGCCCAGGGCAGCATGCGTGGGACCAGTGATGGCTCCACTGCTCCCTTTTTCCCGGCCTCCATCTGAATGGTAACATTCCATGGCTTTTGCTATTCGTTCAGCTCCCAGCTGCCGTGCTGCTGCCTCCAGGGCACAAAACACCCTGTCGAGTGGAAAATGCCATGCCCTTTCCAGGGTTTGCAAGCAAAGGATGCTCTCCATTCCATGGCGTGGTCACAGGCGTCCCCGAGTGCTGGGACATGAAGCATTGCATGTCTCCGAGCTCGCTGCGAGGGAGCGGAGGGGAAGCCGTGGCCGGTGCTGAGTCGGGGGAAAGATGCTCTCACCTGCTCTTGAAGAGTCAGCCCAAGGGCTCTGTGTTTGCTCAGCTTTTGGTTGCCAGTTCTGGTTTGCTTCTCATCAGTCAGGATTCAACTTGGCATGTTTGGGAACCCATCTTGGAGAAGGAGCAGGAAGGTTTGGCTTGCTAGGTTATCTGTAACGCATAAAAAACAAATGCAAATGTGAAGAGGCCAGAGCATAACTCATTTATAAACAGAATTCACGGTGCTTGCACAGCAGTGTGCAGAGCCAAGACCCGTTCTCATGCGTTGCAGGCTCTTTCTCTCAATTATTTACTCTCCTTATCTTCCTCTCTCCCCTCCTCTGACATGCTACACCGTTTCTCACTGCTAATTTCCTCTCCATTGCGTATGGTTGACGTGCTGATTCTTCCTTGCTCTCGTTTTCTAACATTTTCTCTCTCGCCTCCCCTCCTCGTTTTCTTTCTCCTCTGATCTGAAGCGGCTCCCTGAATAACTGCTGTCATATTTGCTCTTCTCCCATCCCTCTCCTCGCCCACCTTGCCTGTGTACTTTACTCAAGAGCTCTTTTGATCTTTGGCTTTCTTCCGTGCTGATTTCAGTGGACTGAAGCGAGGCACGAGCTGCTGCCTCACAGCATCCTCCGCTCCCCAGAGAGGTTAATACCTTCACATTGTTGGGTTTGGGAGTTTTGTTGGTTTTAAAACGGTGAGTGAGGGAAGGAGCTCTCACAACAGACTCCAGTTAAAAAAAAAAATACGTCTTCAAAATAAGCTTTGCAGCACAATTTATATTCTGCAGTTGAGGTGTCTCGCTGATGCTGGGGCTGGCCTGAAGGACTCAGGTGCTGATGAGGATACAGGGATGATTGGTTTTACCATGACTGATGCTGGATGCAAGCTTCTGCCCGTCTATGTATTCCCTCTTGAGCAGACGTCAAAGTCCGATTCCAGCGTTAAAACAGCCTCGGAGTTTTTAAAGGCTGAGCGATAAAAGCACCCACTGGTAGCTGAAATTGGGCTGCTGCACAGATTTCTTTGTAGACAAAGATGAGCCTGCAGAAAAGTAAGAGGTCTGGCAGGTCCAGCTTATTGGGACAGTTAAAAGAGTAGGATCTGAAAGGATACAAAAGCTGCTGCAAATCCTGAATCAGCCCCAGCAGACTTCCAGAGATTGGCTTTCTGGTTCTGGCTTTACAGAGGGACAGCAAGTGGTGGGTATTGTCCCGTTGGGGAGAAGAGGCGAGCTGTAGCTCCCCAGGGGCTGCTTTGACAAAGACATACCCATAGGATAGAACGAAGAATCTGCTTGGCTTTCTCTTGGGTACCTAAAATATCCAACTTATGGCCAATTTTGGTGAAGGTACGCAGCTGGGATAAATATAACACTAAGCATGAAGTCACCCTTGACTAAAAGAGCATTTAGGCTGGAGCCTGACGTACCCTGCACGCCTTGCCGTGTTTGTCCCACCCCATTGGTGGGGTTTGCTCGCTGAAGCTGGGGAGGTTGCTTTGCCCGGCTCATAATGTGGTTTTTGTGTTCCATTTCCATCCGCCAACATATGCTGTTGTCTCCCTTTCTGTCAGGGAGAAGAAATGTTGAAATTCTAAACCAGAATTTTTTGCACACGCAATTCTGAGCATCAGTCAGATTCCCTTTTAAACTGGAAAAAAAAAATCCTTGAAAACCAGCATGCATCGATTTGACTTTGGACCAAATTTTGTACTTGAAGCGCTTTGTGCTGTTCCTCTAGATTTTGTTTGCGAGCCACTCAGAGCCTTTGTCTAATTTCCTCACTGAGAACAGATGCCCGCTGCGATTTGTGCCTGGTTAGCCCCAAGTCTGGTTAAAGTCACAGATGGATGAATCCCCACGAAGGTTTAAACTTTTCCCTGCTGGCAGTTGGTCCAATATTGTCTGCTTTAGAAATATCATTGCTCAGGCTGCCCCGGGGGGAAGCTCCTGGCTGACCCTTCCAAGCAGGGACTGGCTTTTTCTTAACCCTTGTTGAGGGTACTCATGAAAAACGCCCAGAACCGCCCATGCTCCTTGCTGCGAGCAGAGGTGATGCTGCCCGTGTACTGTTGCTGCTGACAGGCTCTTAAACATCCCGAACTCCTGGTGTTACAATTAGAGCATCAATTAATTAATTGCATTTGCAAAACACACAATTCCCTGGGTTCCCAGTAATGGCCTGCTTGGGTGAGAGAGCAAAGAACTGGGGTTTTTTGACATCACCGGATTTACCGAATTTTTGACATTACCTGAATTACTGAAAATACGTGTCGAGAATAGTTTTGATAGCTAATCAAAGTATTTGAGTTTTCAGCGATGCCTTCTGCATGTGATAATAGCCACCTGTCAGTAGACTGTGCTTCTGCAACCACGACATCCACTGCTCGCAGACAATATTGTACGAAATTCGAGCCACAGTCGTTCCCTCTTGATTTTTAATTGCTTTTAAAACTCGGCGCTGGTTAGACGGGGAGGGGAGAGATGCTGTGCTTACTGAAGCGAGGTGTTCTCGACGAGTAGAGTGGGATCTGGCTGGGGGTTTTGTACTGATGGGGACCTGCTCTCTCCCAGGTGGACAATGCTAAGGACTTCCTCTCCATGGGTGGACTCCAGCTGGTGATCGATGGGCTGAACAGCACCGAGGCCGTGCTGAAGGAGCACGCTGCCTTCGTCCTGGGAGCCGCGCTGTCCAGGTGAGCTCTGTGCCACCCAGCCTGGGCGAGTGAAAACCTCGAGAGACCAGGCAGGCTCTGTGCTTCTCTTCAGCTCTCTTGATTTATTTCTAATACCATGAACGGAAAGCTTCCCTCATTCTGCAACACACCAAATTGTCTTCTCCCCTGCCCAGCCCTTTCCTTGCAGCACCACTTACCCTGGTTGGTCATCTTGTCAGTGTGTCCTTTGCCCTGCTTGTTAGACTTAGCCAGAAGTAATTTCGTGTGGAAGCTATGATTGTTTCTTGATTTCTCCAGGCTCCTTGTTTTTACAAAGTCTGAGGGGAATAATTCTGCCTCCCCTCCTCTCCCCTTGGCAGCCTTCTCAGGGGGGAGATCTCAAGGATGGTGTGGTTACGAGCATCCCAAGGAGCACCTTTCTCCCTCCTGCTCCTTGCTCCCAGGCTGCTTTAGGATAGCAAGATGCTGATTTCGGAAAAGTATCGACTCTCATGCTCTTTGGATGGGCTTTTTAGCCCCATGGACATGTGCCTCTGACCCACAGGTGTAACCAAAAGGGTGTCGATGGGACATGGGGTTAGGAATGGGGTCAGCAGGCTGAATCAAGGAGAGACTGGTCTGGAGGATGTTTGTGGTTCATTGGAAGGTGGCTGTTGCCCAAAGGAGCCCAGTCAGCCTTGTGCTAGGGCATGATGGGTGGTACTGTGTGGGCTCGATGGGTTTTATTGCTGCCCTTTTTGGTTTATGGGTTTTGGGGCTTTAAGGGTGTGTGTGTTGCACATTCATGTGTGCAGAGACTTTAGATATGCATTGGATGGAGCCAGACTTCATGGTCAGAAGTGTGGAGTGAAGATTGGAAGTCAGGACCATTATATCTGCATGTTTGTATACCTAAAAATATGGTCACCTTCTCCACCATTATAAATTATTTATTACTTGGTTTAATACGTAGTCTAGAAATCTGCATTTCCTTTGCAGTCTTGTATGTGATGCAGTTGGTCCTCAGCACGTGTGAAGTAATTATGGCCTCGTGGGCAGTAGCAGGTACCCAGATTTGTACCAGGAAAGGACCCAGCTTATATTTTGAAACACAGTTTGACTTATTGATCACAAGGTGATGTGCCCTTTCATGTCAGAAACACAGACCCGCTCTTTCTATTCTGGTGTATTTTAATGTTTGAAGCAATATACTGTAATTGTTTCCTCAGGTTTTTTCATAACATGTAGACTCTTAATGCTATGTTTCATAACGAGAAAATCATGTAGAGGCTCTGGAAACATTTGCAGGTAACTTGTGAAGTGACAAGGGCTATTAAATTACTTCTTTCCTGATTTAGCTAATTTGACATGATCAAGACTCGAGAAATTCATCGTCTCATGATACGAGTGCGTAGCAGGGGCCACAAAACTAATGGCTTTATATGGTATTCCTCAGTTAATTGCAAATGCCTTTCTTTGGACAGAAACAATCTCTTTTCTATTGTGACAATATTAAAATACTGCTTTGGAAACTTTTAGACCTTTTTTTTCTTTAAAGGACATTCTGACAGATGGTAATTTTGAGTGGTTTGGATGATGTATTGTCTGAGAGCTCAGTTCCAAAATGTGAGGAATATTATGCCTGGGTTTTGGGTTTGCTTTTTTTCCCCTTGCTGTGCTTAAGCTTTCTCAGTAGACACCTACATGCCAACTCGTCTGCTTTGTGCTATCTGCTTAATTTGTTTGTTCATACATTTTCTCAGCTTACTCCATGCTCCATTTAAACTGCCGCAAGCATTTCAAGTACTTCACGCTAAGCATTTTCTGATGTCTTGTGTTTTTTCTGAGGGGTGGTTGTTTATTTCCTTCACTCACGGTCGTTCCTCGGGGCTTCAGTTAGGTGGTAGGACTTTCCAGTAAATGCTGAGAGGTGCTGCAGCTCGCTGGGCTGTAGGGGCACGATCTGATCCGTACTCACGTGCCTGGGGCTGGTATCGCATCCTGCGCTGGACGCTGAGCCCTGCCTGGGCAAGAGGCGATGGTCTGCTGCTCACCAAATGGGCCTGTGGCCACCTCCCAGGTCTCTTCAGCCAGGTTGGCTCAGGCCAGCGGTTTCAAGCCAGGCAAACATTCCTAGAGGAAAATCATGGCATGATCATAGCAGCTCCTCAGCCCGGCTCGGGAGGTCATTAACTCCTGGCGTAGCTGAATCTTGAAGAGGGCATTTGGCATTGTCTGTAGGCAACTTGTTTTATGCAGGAGAAAACCACTGGATGCTGAGCAGTCTCAGACATGCTTAGGTCACATCCAGAATGTTTCAACTCTTAAAAATGTCCAGGTCTTCTCCAGATGTGCGTTGTCTTTAACTCTGATCAGGTTAGTGAAGCAGGTAAGGGATAGAGCAACCAGCTGCGCCACCCAGGTCTTACCTGCATGCAGTATGGCTGGGACCTGGCTCCGAGGTCTGGCCGTGCTGAAAACTGATTTGGGATAAAAGGGTTTTCAAGTGGATCAGCTCCTTGAGCCAATGGGCCAGGTGGCTGGCCAAGACGTTGGATCAGCAAAGGTGGTAGGAGGAAAAGGTACGGCAGGGGCAGTTCAGGATTTCTCCCTCCTGGTAGTGTTCCTATTTTATTTGGCTTAGACTAGACTTTAAAATCAGCCTTAGCACAGGAGAGTTTGGTCCCCAAAGCAGAGGGTCCCAGGGTCCAGTTGCCTGGGTGCTGCCTGGACGGATGCTGTCCTCCTGGCGTCCGTCTGCCTCTGTCTGTGAGCCTCTGCTGTGGAAGAGGGTGATCTGGTACGGAGGAAATCAAGATTTCATCTCTCGTTTCTCTTGTATGTCCTTCGTTTTAGACATTTGGGGTTTAATCGCTGAGTCTGTGACCAAATCAAACATCGTTCCATCTGGTAGAGTTTTCTGAGCGCTGCCCTTATTGCAACTCTGCAACCTCATCACAGTCTTACTGTTTTTAAACCTTTAACAAAATGTTTTCCATTCAGCAGTTTGCAAAAGTAAACTTCATTTGAACAATCCTCAAGTGCTCTGATTGCAGATAAAAGTTAAATGCACTAACAAAAATAATTGCTAGGCATGTGGGATTGTACATTTAGGTATCCATAATTCACTAACAGTATATGCCAATACACAACATTATCTGGATTTCCAGTGATTGCATTAGCATAAAAGCATGTTAGCATTTATCCAGTGGTACTAACATTTAAATATATATAAGTATAAAATATTAAGGTACAACGTTTTGGAGGCAAGTAAAACTACTGTCTGTAAAATGTTCTTGCATATTTTTGAAGGTACACTCTAGTATCTTCGGATGACAATCAGCATTCGCACCATTGGGTCCAAACATTGCAAAAATGTCAATGTTTTATGCAAAGAGGAGCTATATTAAGCTAAAAAAGATTGCTGATGAGAGAAGTGTCTTCTGATGTCCTCTAAGCTATTTACAGGCAGCATCTTCCTTTGTTCGTAGCTCAGCCAGGCCTCTGCACAATTTGTATCTAGATGTTTCACAAGACTGGAAATGTTAGCCAGAAAGGATTATGCTTGTGATTAAAACCTCAATTTTTAAAAACTTTACCTCCAGGAAACGTCTTTCCACACCAATAATTTGAACATTTTAATATTTTGTAATAAAAGGATTTTTGTAATCCGTTTAGAAGGGGAATAATAATTTATGTCAAATGCATTCTTGAAGCTTTATCCCAAACGCTCCCTGTACGCTTAGGGGTGAATTAGAGGTGAGGAGGGAGAGAAGCTAAGCTGTGGGACCGTCAAGGCAAAGAGAAGCAGTTGGTACTCATGGGCAGAAAGCACAAAAGGTGAGATTTCGGCATGGCCAAAGTGGGGAGCCAGGAGGAGAGTCACTTGTGCGGCTGCGTGGGGAGATCTGTGGCGTTTTGGCCAGCCCTTTGTGCTGGCCCGTGTGCTGTTCACACCGGGTAGCCGGGGATGGGATTTCAAACTGACGGTCTGAGCTTGTTTGCCACGTGTCCTAGCAGGACGCAGGGCAGTCCCCAGCACAGCCTCTTCCAGCAAGCCCAGCACTACTGGGATCTCACCGTTCCCTCTTTTGGCCCTGAGTGGTAAAACAAATGTTATGGAACTTGGTAAAGACTCGGGAGGTAACTCATCACAGGTAGTAACTCAAGCATCATCTTGTAGCAGCACTCAGGAGTTTTCTAGAGATGGCTCGTGTCGGGCTGTTGCTTGTCTTAACCGATCCCATGAGATCAAACCCCTTGAACTATGACAGCGTGCGTCATGAACATCCCAACCACCATTATTCATCTTACCCAGCTCTGAGGCTTGTTTAGAGCTTGCACCGTTTTGGCAAAGCGAAGAGGGGCATAAAACATCTATCTGCTTTTCAAGATAAGCCTAAAACCCGAGCCCAGAGCAACAGGCTCCATTGCCTCCCTGCGCGGTGCTGTGCTGGGGTGTCTGAGCTCAGCATCGTGATGTCCGGCTGGTTTCGGCTCTGCTTTCTCATCTTCTTTTCTCTGGGAGGAGGGCCGGGGGAATGCTGTCTCCCTGTCCCTGCTCTATCCATCAGTATTTCGGTGGTGTCCATTCTCCTAGGGTGCACGGCTTCCATGTTTTGTCAGAGAAGCACCAACTTCTTCAGCATGTCTTTGTCAAGAGAAAAAAGCTTCCATCAGATTTAATGGTTTTGAATTAAGTCCAGCTTCACAATGAAACTGGTTGATGCTCCCTGCTGTTAAATAACATTAAGGCCCAAGCAGTAAACCCAGGAAAAGTAAAATTAAAGACCTTGCTTCGACGCTGTCTTGTAAGGACATAAGAATTTCTGGGCAGAGAAATAAATCTAGTTAGCTTAACAAGCACTGTCCCTACCCATTTATTTCAAATCCATCTTCATGTTCGTCCCTTCCTCCTCCAGCTTCTCCTTTTACATCCTACAGTCTTTGCACATCTCTTCATCCATTTTTGCTGGGTTTTTCACGGGCCCTGTTTGGCCAAGGCCATGTGTTTGCCACCTTCCAGACGCAGTAATTCT